GATGAGTCCGTGGATGTGTTTGCTTCACGGGTGGCTACTCTCGTCAATCGGATTCGAGCGCTTGGAGAAAACCTCACGGAGGCCTCGGTTGTCCGGCGGTTCTTGCACGCGGCCCCTCCCAGGTACCTGCAAATTGTCACGGCGATCGAGCAGTGCGTCGATCTCGCGACTCTCTCCATCGACGATCTTGTCGGACGATACAAGGCTCACGATGAGCGTATGCGGTACAGTCTTGGGGACGGGAAGAACGACGAGCTTGTGATGCTCACAAAGGCGCAGTGGATCGCCCTGGAAAAGCGAGGCGGATCCATAAGCAGTAGCAAGAAGAAGGGGAAGCAGCGTTCGACGAGAAAGAACTTTGCCGACTCGGACGATGACTCAGACGATGAGGCTGCGCCTGCACCACCGAGGAGGAAGTTTGACATCAGAAAAGTGAGGTGTCATAAGTGTGGCCTCCTCGGTCACTTCAAGGCTAACTGCGAGGAAGCACCGAAGCAACGGGCACTCATGGCCGAGGAAGGAGATGATGGGGATATGATGCTGATGTGCGAGCTAGTGGACGAGGAGGATCCAGATGATCTTGGTCAGCTGGACATGGGTCCGGTCAGTGCATCTGCGCCATTAAACCCAGGCGATGTTGTGGCCCCAGAAGACCATGACATAAGGCGTGATGATGTGGTCATGCCAGTAAAACCAGGCGGAGTGATGGGGCCAGAAGTCCATGACACAAGGCGTGACGGTATGGTCATGCTAGAAGCAGGCGAAGAAGTGGCGCCAGAAGTCCACGACACAATGCGTGATGGTGTGGTCGCGCTAGAAGACGGCGAAAATGTGTTGCCAGAAGAACACGTTGCAGGGCGTGACATGGTGGTTGCGCAGGAAGATGGCGAATACGTGTCGCCAGAAGAACACGGTTCGAGGCAGGATGCGTCACTAGTAGCTGTTGGGTTGCATGCGAGCGGAGATGCAACGGGTGACGTGCCCAAAGGCAGCAGCAGCTCGCTAGGCAATGCACATGCAGGTGGCTGCACTAGCTGGCCATATGGGCCAGGATCTACCTAGCGCAACAGCAGCATGTACAAGCAGTGTACATCAGCTCCACTAGGAATCTCGCCACCACGTGGGTTTCTAGTGATGGATGGGCTAGACGGTGTGCAACGTTCAGGAAAAAGAGACGGGGAAGAGGAATATAGCAGCCCAGCAAGTAGCAGTGCAGCTGTTGCAGGCTCTACGAGTGGTTCTAAGCACCCAGGAAGCGGACCAAGAGGTCCAGAAACGCCAGCAACGAGAGGTTTGGCAACTCCAGAAAAAGTGGCATCGCCTCTGACAGTACAAGAGACGATGGAACAGCCACCGAAACCAGTACGCATGCGACGCATGTTGGATCTCTCTTCAGAAGCAGGGCTTCAGATAAATTCGGTGAAGATGAAAAGTAAAGGGCAACAAAGTTTGCACATCGAGGAACCGGAAATTTTTGAAGATGCAAATATGGAGGAGTGTTGGCGTCGTGCTATGGATGAAGAGTTGGGTTCGATCCGAGACAACGATACATGGGAGCTCGCGGATCTTCCCAACGGACATAATGCCATGGAGCTCAAGTGGATGTACAAAGTCAAGAAGGATGCCGAAGGAAGCTTGGTGAAGCATAAAGCAAGACTCGTGGCTAAAGAAAATGTGCAAGAGCAAAGTGTGGACTTCGACGAAGTGTTCGCTCCACTTGCAAGGATGGACACGGTGAGGCTACTTATAGCTCTCGCGGCTCAAGAATCTTGGAGGATACATCATATGGATGTGAACTCCGCGTTGTTGACTAGGGAGTTAGAAGAAAAGTTGTATGTGAAGCAACCACCGGGGTACATCCAAGAAGGAGAGGAGCACAAGGTATTGAAGCTACACAAGGCATTGTACGGGCTACGACAAGCTCCTCAGGCATGGAACATCAAGCTTGATCGTACATTGATTTCTCTTGGGTTTGAGAAAGCCCCACTGGAGCATACGATGTATAGACGAGGTAAAGGCAAGGATCGTCTCTTAGTGGGCATCTATGTGGATGATCTATTGATAACTGGAGCAGACAAAGAGGTGATTGCAAACTTCAAGCTACAAATGGAGGAGCTATTCAAGATGACTGATCTAGGGCTCTTGAGTTACTACCTTGGGATTGAGGTACAGCAAAAGCCGGAGGCGATCACAATATGCCAGGAGGCATATGCAAAGAAGGTACTTGAAAGCTGTGGCATGAAAGATTGCAATCCAAGTCATGTTCCAATGAAGCCTCGTCTTATGCTAAGCAAGAAAAGTGAAGCACCTGCGGTTGATGCAACGGAGTATAGAAGTGTGGTCCGAAAGCTGAGGTATCTCACGAATACAAGACCGGACTTGACCTATTCCGTTGGCATGGTGAGTCGCTTCATGGAAGCACCCACGATGAAGCATTGGGCAGCTGTGGAAAATATACTCAGGTACATCAAAGGGACAACAAACTTCGGTTGTGTCTACTTGAGAGAGAAGAAGAAGGAGATGGTGGAGCTACTTGGCTACAGTGATAGCGACATGGCAGGAGATGTGGACGACCGTAAGAGTACCTCGGGCATGGCATATTTCTTGGGAGGAAGCATAGTGAGTTGGCTATCACAAAAGCAGAAGGTGGTCGCATTATCATCTCGTGAAGCGGAGTATATCGCAGCTGCAACCGCGGTGTGTCAAGGCGTTTGCCTAGGAAGACTACTCGGTGACCTCACAGGTAAGGAACGAGTGATGCTCTACATTGATGACGAGTCTACAGTCTCTCTATGGAAGAATCAAATGCATCATGGTGGATGCAAACACATCGATACAAGGTATCGATACCTAAGGGAGTATGTGGAAGAAAGCAAGATCGACATCAACTACGTTTGCACCGACGACCAGCTTGCAGATATCCTAACCAGGTCTTTGGGACGACAGAAGTTCGTCAAAATGCGGCGAAGGATCGGTGTCCAAGCTGTGACGTGAGGACATCGTGTTTAGGGGGGTGATTGTTGGAGTTAAACCCGACGTTGGTTTCTCCCGTACTTGTGTACGTATGTGTCCGGCTAGGATACGTGACCTTCACCGAGTAGGACTTGTATTAGTTGGTAGGTTAGCTAGCTAATATAAATACTCATGTACCCCGTTGTAATCAGTACTACCAAGGCCAGATCAATCAATAAAAGTAAAAAGGCTCGACACGAGCCTGTTGCTATAACTCGGCGACTCCGCGTATTGTGTTCCGACGACTTGGTCTACGCTAGCTAGCTAGACACGAGAATCCATCCACCAGGGTGCTTGCCTGCTTGTTTACTATTGTACGTGTGCGTCTCTGTCAAAGCAGCCGGAAGCAATCGGCTGTACCTTGTACGTCGCTGCGTATTGTCGGAAAGTACTCGACAACAACGTAGTCAAGGTCGGGCCTGTGCCAACACGGCATTGGGGCCTGCAGCCGTGATGATTGAGGTCGCGGTCCCCATGCTCTTTCCGCATCACGTCAACGTCATGCGTGATCGGTCTGCCTCAATCTGGCTATCGATGTGTTCCAGAACGCCCTAAGAAGATCTTGCTCGGGATATCTGGATCGGTTAGATTCCGGTCTTGCACATCCATATCAGCCAATGAGGTCCTGAAGCTGTGGCCCGAAGCTCTGTTGGTTGATGAAACCTTCAGACATGTTGGTTTCTTGATTTCCTTGGTGGAGATAGCGGTGTAGAAGGTTATGGTGGAAGAGGTCGGAGGATCAGTTATACAGACGAAGCCTTGGTAGCCACGGAGTCTGCTAGGTGTCAGATAACTCTCAGGAGCAACAGTGATAAGTGGGGAGGCAACATTGGAGGATTTTATTTTTGGTGGTACTATTCAGGTACCAAGTCGGGGCTTTGGGTGAAAACTTAAGGTCTGACCTTCATTGGTCATTGGGTGTGCCTGACGATTGTCTTGCTGAAGGAATTGTTTTGAGAGCGCAGACTTTCTGCAGGGTGAAAGTCTAAGATGTTGGATCAGGCAATGACAGTGCTTGTGCACTGTTCCCTTATTGGAGGCGTTGCTTTTGGAGACCTTTTATGTTTTTCGTGTGTTGTATTACGTGGTGGTACGTGTGCTGCTGCTAAGGAGGCGATCGCTGTGGCGGGACCTTTCTTTTTATTTTCTCCTTTGGTTATGTGAATCCTAGATGTCTTCGTAACATCTTGTTGGTGCAGAGGCTGGGTGTAATTGGTATCTTCGCAATATATTCCCCTTTTCAAAAAAAAACATACACAAAAATATTTGAGTTTTTTATATGCCAGCAGGTTCAACTAAAGTTAAAAACCATTTTGCTGAATAAATATGTGTTTGTAAGGATTTATAGTACCTAAAGAGTTAACTTTTAAGCATTGAACATCTTTGCAAGAATTTGTTACATTCATTTTTTTCCTCTTTGAGATGTGCACCTTTGATTTAAGCATTGTGCAAATTAAAAATGCCAGTTTTAGTCGACACTAGTTGTATGTTTGTTTTCTTGTGCATGTGGGCATCATCACATCAAGACGGCACAAGTGACAAGTCCTTGAACATTTTATTAGTACTACGCTCCCTTCTAACTACTTTGCTAGCTACTGTCTTTTTTTGTTTCTTTGTTTAACAGAACTGTGGCAGGTTCCATTAACCGGTGTCTAAAGCCATCTTCTACTACTCCAACCATTAATTTTCTTTTCTTTCAATGATTGGGCCGGGTTATTTAAACCACCCGAGACCTCAGCCAAAGCCACACATCACGAAAGATTTTCTTTTCTCAGCTTCTAGAGCTCCTACCCCAACAATGGCAGCTGCTGCTAGTCATCCTCCCACTCGTTTCCCTGCTCTTCCTCCTACACAGGAGCCGGAACAGGTCCGGTAGCATTAGGCTGCCACCAGGGCCCTGGCAGCTGCCCATCCTCGGCAACCTGCACCAGATCGGCCCGCTGGCCCACCGGAGCCTGTTGGCGCTCTCAAAGCGGCACGGGCCGGTGATGATGCTGCGGCTGGGCATGGTGCGGACGGTGGTGCTGTCCTCGCCGGAGGCCGCACGCGAGGCTCTCAAGACCCACAACGTCGACTGCTCCGGACGGTCCCCCTCGGCAGGGCCACGGTTGCTGTCGTATGGCTACAAGGACGTCATCTTCTCCCCCTACAGCGACTATGTCCAGGAGATGCGCAAGCTTTTCATCCTCGAGCTTCTCAGCAAGCGTCGCGTGCAGGCCGCTTGCTACGCTCGCGATGCCCAGGTACGTACGTGATTAGTTTTGTGAATGAGTGAAATTGTATGAAAATCTTATATTAGTCATCAACTTATCGCCCATGTGGGAGCGCGCACATAGAAACTTCCAAATTGAAACTATGTAGATCGATCTTGTATTTTCGATGTGAACTTATGCACGATATTAAATTTATCGGAAGTGTAAGAGAAAAACAAGTACAGTAAGCTGGGTTACTCGCACACATATGTGCACCAAGAATTACTATATGGACACTAAGAAATTTTTGAGTGAGTAAGAAAGAAAGAGTGACACAGACACAAATATTATGAGATTATAAATACTGTGTTTTTATATCCACCATCCGAACTATGCTGAATTAAAAGACACCAGTGCTCATCTAAAAAAGAAGTTCTACAAAAAGTTTTATGATTTAAAGTTAAGCCTTCCAGTCCTACGCATCGAAAATCTATATATCATAATATTAGAAAACTGAAAATTATACAAATACCTTCTGGAGTTTATTACAATAAAAACTGTCCTGGACGAGACGGACAGCAGCTAATAAGAAGCTTTTTTGGCGGAGGATAACCTTGCATTTTGGTATATTGATAATGCACACTAGAAGTTTGGATTGAAACTAATTGATGGACCAATTGTAATTGAAGTTAAATCAGTTTGTGCCTTTTAAATTGTGATGATGTGTCTGCTACTAGATTTTTTGTACTAAGTTAGCATATTCATAGTACATGATATTAACTCAGTACACATAACTCAGATGGTGAGCAATCCGATTGTTCGTATGTGGTATCAAAAGGGTCCACTAAATCTGCGAGTGTTTGTGGCTTATTTACATGGACCATATGCTTTTATTTATTTACAGTGCATACTTTTGTGCAGCATTATGTCTACAAATATGATTCTCCCAGATTTGTGCATATGTACTCAATTAGTTATTAGATAAAGACTAAATGTGAAAAAACTTAGCAATACCAGTTCTTAGTCTACTAAGAAACATATGCTCATTGATAGTAGATGTTTGTTTACATATGTACTTGAAGAATCACATAAATATGATACTACTTGTACGAAAGTATGTCCAAGAAAATCTAGACTGGAAATATATTTCATTGACTTCTGCTTGTTCATATTCTAGAGATAAAAATAAAAGTAAAAATATAAAATGGGAAACATAGAAATGAATACTCTAGATAATACAGAGAAATTGAATAGGACAGATACAGATTTGCTTCGAGCCTGAGGCATGCATTCGTGATGATCAGGAGTTTTGATTTGTGCAGGTGTGTCTATAGTGATTTAATGTCTCTAATACTTTATAGTATATGGCTATCAAGGTTTTCTTGCAGGGAAATTATTAAGATTTATCATGTGTGATTAATTTAAATGAAGACCATGATTATATATTTTCATGTACTGCAGAATTTTAGAGGCTGTTTCCATCCGCAACAAATATAAATATATACTCGTTAACGATATAGTTATCTATCTTCTCTGATACGTTTTGGGTTAATTTTGAAGATAACTTGTTTTTCTCTCAGGAAAGTTATGGGGATTTATGAGCGAGATTAGCTTAGGCATAATTATCAGAAGTAGATATTTTTTCTCTACTGCCAACGTATAATTTTCAAGGATATATCTATTTTTAGGACAACTATAAACATATGTTAGTTAAATTATAGTCTTCCAACATTTTGATCGTAAAGTCTAATCAAACCGCTGATGGTTTATAACTTTTGTCATAATCATTTATTAATACAAAATAAAAGAAAAAAATATGGAGATGTGACACGTGTTATAGTTTTCTAGGGGACACATGTTAGTTACATATGTATCATGTCCCTAAGTAAAATTATCTAATAGTTGGGCGATGAATTCATTTTTCCTTTTGAAGCATACACCTTGAGCCCATTTGGCACAGTTCATGTGTGAGACATGCATCCTTGGTAGTTAGTTTCAAACTAAGACAACTAATGCAGAAAACAAACTAATCTCATGTTCAACCTAGCTGCATAATTCACATCTGATAGTTAAGTACGGTTGTTTTCTTCAGAATTAATATTAGCCATAGTACTATACATAGAGTTAGTTTTTGCCATGTAGAGAGAGAGTGTGTAGTCCATAACTAAACATAAATAATTAGTCCATGGATAAGAAAATATTGGGAATTAACAGGAAACGACTGTGGTAATCCTATTAATTTCTACATGTCAATGATTAGGTAGAAAAGCTGGTGAATAACCTCACCAGTATCAGGACAAAACCAGTGCCGGTTCCTGACTACATCTCTGCTACGTTGGATGGGATCTTTGGCTCTTTTGTTTTTGGGGGAAACCGCGCTGCAGAGAAATTCAAGGGGCAAATGGTCCCTGTGATGAACGAGGCCGTGGACATGCTGAGCAGCTTCTCTGCCGAGGACTTCTTTGCCAACGCCACTGGCAGCCTCTTTGACCATGTTACAGGCATCAAGGCCCGCCGACACAGGATCTTTAAGAAGCTCGATGGATTCTTCGAACAAGTCATCGAGCATTACGTGAATGAAGACCCCACCAGGAAAAAACTTGATGACAATTGCGGATCAGCACTTCTGGAAGAACTTATCGACTTATGGAAAAAGCACAATAAGATCACTAAGGATCATGTAAAGGCTATCCTCATGGTAATAATAATTATCGCATTCGTTGTGGAAGATGCATCATGCAACTCCTTTTCGGAAAGAAAAGAATTAATATTTGGTTCATCTTCTTGTGCAACTAGTAGTCAAATATATTTTTCTCACGTGAATACATATGTTTCAGGACACTTTCGTTGCTGGCAATGATACTAGTGCAATAACAATAAACTGGGCAATGGCAGAGCTAAGTCGGCACCCAAGGGTGCTCAAGAAGGTACAAGAAGAAATCAGAACTGCAGTAGGGAAGAAAGAGAGGGTGCAAAACGAAGACATGTCCAAGCTATGCTACTTAAGAATGGTTGTCAAGGAGACCCTACGGCTGCGTATCCCGGCGGCTTTGCTGGTACCAAGGCAGACCTTACGGAAGATTCAGATTGCAGGATACGACATCCCAGCCAAGACAAGGGTTATTGTAAATGCATGGGCTATTGCTAGGGATCCCAATGTTTGGAAGGACCCGGAGGAGTTTTACCCTGAACGTTTTGAGGTCACGGATATAGACTTCAATGGAGCACATTTCGAGCTTTTGCCCTTTGGCTCGGGACGGCGCATCTGCCCAGGAATGGACATGGGTGTGGCCAACGTAGAATTCATCCTGGCCAACATGCTTTACTGCTTCAACTGGGAGCTTCCACCTGGAATGAATATTGAGGATCTAAGCATGGAGGAGGAAGGGGCTCTGACCATTCGAAAGAAGACGACACTGATGTTGGTGCCGAGTGCCGACAAGGTACACTGCATATCAGTGATCAAACCAAATGGTTGGAAATATGACCGGTCACTTCTTCATGTTTTGTTGGATGTGTAATTTGTTTTGTGTTCATTTCTTTACAATAAGTAAGTGTGTCCGTCTATGCTTGGCGGTTCTTACACTACTCAATGTATTTTGTAACCTGCTATCAGAAAATGGTACCAAAAGCAAAAAAAGACTGTGTTAGCCAAATGAAAAAATAAGCAAGGGTTGGTTGGAAAATTAAAGCATTATTAGGTTAATCCACCTGAATGACAAACGCAACTTAGGATGCGTTGCTTTTCATCCTTGTGATGATTGTATGTTCCTTGTGTTAATTAGTGTATTTTTTTGGAAAAGGAGGCAAAACCCCCGGTCTCTGCATCAATCGATGCATGCAGCCATCTTATTAACAATAAAATAACAAAGTCTTTTGGTCACTAGGATCCCATAATCAAAGTGCCAAACGAAATAAAACAAATGAAAAATGCCACATCTGGCGATACAGATCAGACTACGATGCCTATACACCTAGTCTATTATCAACACGATATCCAAATCGGCTGAAGATAGCATGTACTACCGTCTCCCAAGGGTTGCACGCAATAACCAAAAGCTCACTGGAGCCCACATGAGTGAGTAATGACCACATACTGATCCACGTTGTAGGTCTGTAAATTACCTGCAAAAAAATCGTGAAGTTTCTCTCATTAAAAATCACATCATTTCTTGTATTCCATATCGCCCAAAGTAGTGCACATATCCCTATCCGAATATGTTTCGCCATATGTAAGTCCGCTTCATTGAGCCACGTCCCAAATAACGTGTTTATACTCGTTGGGGGATGTACGTTAAAAGCTATATGAATTGAGCGCCATAATAATTTTGCAAGTGGACACTCGAGAAATAGGTGTTTAATTGTTTCATAGTGCTCACAAAAACAACATCTGGAGCTACCGATCCAACTTCTTTTAAGCAAATTATCTTTTGTCAAATGACTCCTTTTTGAACGAACCACATGAAAATCTTAATTCGAAGCGGAACTTTAATTTTCCATATGTGTAAAGACCTAGACAATGACCCTGAATCAATTAAGTCCAGATACATAGATTTCACCGAAAAGATCCTGTTCGCAGCAAACTTCCAGCGAGACGTATCTTCGTGGTCCGATAGTTGAACTTCCATCAACCTGTGGACAAGGTGTAACCACGTGTTTCACCGATCCCCTACTAGGGATCGCCTAAATTGGATATTAAGCAGTACCGAATTTAATACCGTGGCAACAAAGTCATCCTTTTGTTGCACAATATTATATAGTGATGCATACCATAGGGCTAGAGGCATCTTCCCCAGCCACGTATCCTCCCAGAATCTAGTGGTCGTACCTTTACCTACGATGAACCTCACCCATTGGAAGGTGACTTTTGTCCTCATTAACCCTTTTGAAAAAGGTGAGTCTATAGGTCTAGCTGTAACCTAGGCCAAAGTTTTAGTGCATAAGTACTTATTCCGCAAAATTTGTACGCACATACCCTCAGTCTTCTCCGATAACCTGTAAAGCCATTTGCTAAGCAAGCATCTGTTCTTTACCTCTAAGTTCTCAAGCCCTAACCCACCTTGGTCCTTGGATCTGCAGATGATATCCCATTGGGCCAATAGATATTTCTTCTTAGTCTCATCACTTTGCCAAACAGAGCAGGATCTATAGAAGTCTAATCTCTTTCGCACCCCTAAGGGCACTTCAAAGAAGGATAGAAAGAACATTGGCAAGCTCGTCAAAACTGAATTTATCAGAACCAGCCGACCTCCGTATGACATTAGCTTGCCCTTCCAGCAGCTTAGTCTTTTTTCAAATCTATCTTCTATACATTTCCATTCCTTGTTCGTTAAATTCCTATGGTGGACTCGGATCCCTAAGTAACTAAACTGTACGGAACCCATTTCACATCCGAATAATTTTCTGTACTCATCATGTACCTCTTTCGCTCTCCCGAAACAGAACAATTTGATTTTGTTAAAATTTATTTTTAGTCCAAAAAATTGTTCAAATAGGCAAAGCACAAGCTTCATACTCCTGGCCTTTGCGAGGTCGTGCTCCATGAAAATAATGGTGTCATCATTGCATTGTAGTATGGATACCCCCTGCTCCTGGTGAACCAGTCGTCCTACTTGGCTATTCTCTTTAGGCCGACCGATAAGGACTACTATGTTTAACAACATGGGAGACATGGAGTCCCAATGTCTTAGCCCCCTGTGAGTCTGAAAATAATGCCCAGTGTCATCATTTACTTTTATCCCAACACTACCTTTTTGTGTGAATGCATCCACCTGAGATCTCCATGACTCACTGAACCCTTTCATACGAAAGGCTTGCTGGAGGAAGGGCCATTTGACCTTATCATACGTTTTCTCAAAGTCAACTTTGAATATAACACCATTTAGTTTCTTTACGTGCATTTCATGGAGAGTTTCATGTAAGACGACAACCTCTTCGAGGATGTGTCATCCTGGCATGAACGCGGTTTGGCTTGGTTGAACTACCGAATGAGCTATCTACGTTAACCTATTCGTGCCAACCTTGGTAAAGATCTTGGAGCTTACACTGAGAAGACATATCGGTCTAAATTGCTCAATACGGATTGCCTCCACCTTCTTTGGGAACAATGTTATTGTTCCAAAATTTAAGTGGAATAACTGTAATTTATAATCAAAGAAGTCCTGGAACAAAGGCATAAGATCTCCCTTGATCATATGCCAACACCACTTATAAAATTCCGCCAGGAACCCATCCGATCCAGGGGCTTTATTTTGTTTCGTTTGTGATATTGCATCAAACACCTCTTTCTCTGTGAAACGAGCAGACAACACCTCATTCTCGTTGGAGCTAAGCTGAGGTATATCCCCGATCTCTCTCTCATCTAGGGATATAGAATTTTCTTCTGGTACTCCGAAAAGCTTTTTATAATAATTGGATATGTACAGTTTGAGGTTCTCATGCCCTACAATTGTACCCTCATCTTGTTAAAGTTGAATAATTTTCTTTTGCCGGTGTCTCCCATTAGCTATGAGATGAAAGAATTGGGTATTATCTTCCCCTTGGACTATCTTAGATATATTCTCTCTAAGTGCCCATTTCATCTCTCTTCTCGCAAAAGAGCTTGTAACTTCTTCTCCGCCTCATTTTTAATATTCTAGTCAGACATATTAAGAAGTGTTGTTTCCGCACTCAAATAAAGCTCATTAATAATTTGTATCAGTCTCTCCTTTTCTACTTTATATAAACCACTTTGATTCTTGACCCATCCTCTAAAAAATTGGCGCAAGTGTCTAATATTGTTTTGCCATCTATCAATATTTGATATCCCACCCGACTCCTTGGCCCATTTGGCTGCAATGAGATCAAGGAAGCCTTCCCTCTCAAACCATCCTAATTCAAAAGAGAAATTATTTTTGTTGCCCACATGTGTCGCTTCGCCAGAATCAACCAACAGTGGAGTATGATCAGAAATAGCCATCTGTAGGGCATCAACCATTACCAAAGGAAATTTTTGTTCCCACTCAATACTAGTGTGAACCCGGTCTAAGTTCTCATAAGTAGGTGCTGGTAAAGAATTATCCCATGTGAATTGTCTCCCAGTGAGGTCAATCTCCCTCAACTCAAGACTTTCAATGATCGTATTAAACATGAATGACCATCTCCCCTAGAAATTGTCATTATTTTTTCATCTTGTCTTCTAATTATATTGAAGTCTCCCCACCTAAATGGGAAGTCTTTCATCACCACAAATTCTCAACAGATCCGCTAGTAAATCCGGTTTGAGCTCTGGCTGGGCCGCACCATCTACGGCAACCAAAGCCCATCTGAAGCCAGCAACTTTCGACCGTACTCGAAATTTGACGGTAAAATATTCGAAACCACATTAAACACATCTAAAGATTCGCATTTCACCCCGAGGAGGATCCCACCGGACTGACCCCTGATGACCCACAAGTATAGGGGATCTATCGTAGTCCTTTCAATAAGTAAGAGTGTCGAACCCAATGAGGAGCAGAAGGAACCGATAAGCGGTTTTCAGCAAGGTATTCTCTGCAAGTACTGAAATAAGTGGTAACAGATAGTTTTGTGATAAGATAATTTGTAACGAGCAACAAGTAACAAAAGTAAATAAAGTGCAGCAAGGTGGCCCAATCCTTTTTCTAGCAAAGGACAAGCCTGGACAAACTCTTATATAAGGAAAAGAGCTCCCGAGGACACATGGGAATATCGTCAAGCTAGTTTTTATCGCGTTCATATGATTCGCGTTCGGTACTTTGATAATTTGACATGTGGGTGGACCGGTGCTTGGGTGCTGTTCTTACTTGAACAAGCATCCCACTTATGATTAACCTCTATTGCAGGCATCCGCAACTACAACAAAAGTATTAAGGTAAACCTAACCATAGCATGAAACATATGGATCCAAATCAGCCCCTTACGAAGCAATGCATAAACTAGGGTTTAAGCTTCTGTCACTCTAGCAACCCATCATCTACTTATTACTTCCCAATGCCTTCCTCTAGGCCCAAATAATGGTGAAGTGTTATGTAGTCGACGTTCACATAACACAACTAGAGGCTAGACAACATACACCGCATCAAAATATCGAACGAATACCAAATTCACATGCCTACTAATAGCAAGACTTCTCCCTTGTCCTCAGGAACAAACGTAACTACTCACAAAGCATATTCATGTTCATAATCAGAGGGGTAATAATATGCATAAAGGATCTGAGCATATGATCTTCCACCAATTAAACCAACTAGCATCAAATACAAGGAGTAATTAACACTACTAGCAACCTACTAGCACCAATCCCAGACTTGGAGACAAGAATTGGATACAAGAGATGAACTAGGGTTTTGAGATGAGATGGTGCTGATGAAGATGTTGATGGAGATTGCCCTTTCCCGATGAGAGGAGCGTTGGTGATGACGATGGCGATGATTTCCCCCTCCGGGAGGGAAGTTTCCCCAGCAAAACAGCTCTGCCGGAGCCCTAGATTGGTTCCGCCAAGGTTCCGCCTCGTGGCGGAAGA